CCTGTGAACATTCAAATTACTTTTTCGAGTGAAACTTTTTCCACATGTCTGACAAGAGAATGGCCTCTCATTTGTGTGGATTCGTCTGTGGACATTTAAGTCTGAGCTCTGAATAAAAGATTTTCCACATGTGTCACAAAAAAAAGGCCTATCACCTGTATGAATTTTCTTGTGAAGCCTTAAATGGCTAATTCGAGAGAAACGTTTTCCACATGTTTCACATGAAAAAGGTTTCTCACCTGTATGAATTTTCTTGTGAAAATTGAGATGATCTATTCGAGTGAAACTTTTTCCACACGTTTCACATAAAAAAGGCTTCCCACATGTGTGGGTTCTGTAGAACTGTGCCTGTGCCTCATTATGACTCTCTGGAACAGTGGAGCTGCTTCCTGCCTTGTCTTTGCTCTCAACTACAGGAAAGATCTGAAAGGAGAGCTGCTCAGTTTGTGGTCTTCCATCATTCATGTCATCATCCTGAAGAGTAGAAGTATCCATCAAAGCAACAAACAGCTTTTGGACAAGATGTTGTCCCTCCTGACTGCTGGATCGGTCATTCTGGTCCTGCCTGGTCGGTAAATCTTCTGGTCCATGCTGTTCATGTTGAAGCTCTGAATAATCTGGTTCCTCTTTTCTACAATTATCAGTTGAGGTTCCGATTCCTCCTCTTCCTTAATCCATTTATTTCCTTGAATGTCCTGTTCATCCATCAGTGGTGATTTGGGCTCCTCATCTTCCTCTTTAATACATGGAGGTCGTGGTTCCCTTACTTCTCCAATCCATTTATGTCCCGATGCCTCCTGGTCGTGACTGGACCTCCTACCCTGGTTATTAACCTGTTGGATGGTAAAAGTTTGTGGCTGTTGGAGGTCTGTGGGGATAAAGGAAGAGATCATTAATATAATTTAAGTGATGACTGATTTGTGCATCAGACTGGTTGTTCTTGGATATCGAGATTGTTGGCGTCACACAGTTCATCTAAACTTAGTTTGTAGTCCATATTTATTTTCAGGAAAAACTGTCCACAATACTTGGCAGCCCTGTTACAGATGTTTAAAAATGTAAAATGAATTCTGATTACATTACAGTAAAAAGAACAATTAAACCTCTAATTTTAAAACATTTATTCAGTGGTGAACTTTGTTACAGTTACTGATGCAACAAACAATTCCTACAAAATAAACGTAACTGAAGTATTTAAAACCTCAATTTTTAAAGTTGACCAGACTGTGTAGGATCTTTTTTTAGTAAACTATATTATTCTTTGGAGAGTGAATATAACATTTGTGGCATTGTTGATGACTGAGTCAACAACATTCTTCAGGATCTACAAGGTCTTGACTGAACTCATTAATGAAGGATTTACAGAACTTCCTGCACTTGGCTGAAATACTTATTTTGCAGGTCATCTCCTCCTCTATTCTCTGCATGAAAATGCAAAGACAACAGTCTTCCCAGCAACCTTCCTGTGTCTGAAACAGAATATTTTGGACCAAAAACAATTCAAACGCACCTGATCTCAACAAGAGCCAACACAGCCAATTAGCTCTAATTAGAGGCCTGAACTGAAGTAAACCCTACATAAGAGACAAAAGTGCCACATTTACTGTATTACATGAAGCCAAAATAAATGTTCTTGTTGTCAACTACCAGCTTAAAATAGTTCCAAACCTTTGACTTGACCTCTGCTAGCACAGTGGTCTATTATTTAACATATTCCAGGTCCATTTTGTAACCTTTTAACTGCAGTAAACATCCTGTAGGATGTGTGACTGATGGGCTGGGAGGCAGGTGTGCATTAGTTGTGCAATGCGCTGTGCTTGCTACAATCTACTTAACTTCTGCACTGGTTTTCTTTTTAATTCAACAGGATAAAGTACTTACTTTTCTATTTAGCCTTTCATAAATAGCTAAAAACAAATTATACATTGTGCATTCACATTTAGTATTATCTGTGCTATGTTATATGCTTATCAAAAATGCATCACAGAAGCCCAAGTTGGGTCAGATTTAGCTCAGGCTATAAATATAAAATCTATAACTGGCTTAATGGGAGTCAGAAAGCTACACATGTGACCCCAGCCAAGCATAACCCCCCTTCTGTCTGGAACACAGGCGGTGTGACCGACATGATAAGTATAAGTTAATATGTTTGAATTTGAATTTTTCTATTAATTGAACAGTGCTTTGGAGTGTGAATTATGTGGCTTAAATGGTTTTTGGAGACTCGAACAAACATTTTCCAATTGTCCTGGACTACAAAACTACGAACCCCTGGAGCAGCAGCTAAAAGCAACAGGAGCTAAAAGCAACAGCAGCTAAAAGCAGCAGCAGCTAAAAGCAACAGCAGCTAAAAGCAACAGCAGCTAAAAGCAACAGCAGCTAAAAGCAACAGCAGCTAAAAGCAACAGCAGCTAAAAGCAGCAGCAAGCTAAAAGCAGCAGCAGCTAAAAGCAACAGCAGCTAAAAGCAGCAGCAAGCTAAAAGCAACAGCAGCTAAAAGCAACAGCAGCTAAAAGCAACAGCCATCTAAAAGCAGCAGCAGCTAAAAGCAGCAGCAAGCTAAAAGCAACAGCAGCTAAAAGCAGCAGCAGCTAAAAGCAACAGCAGCTAAAAGCAACAGCAGCTAAAAGCAGCAGCAGCTAAAAGCAGCAGCTAAAAGCAACAGCAGCTAAAAGCAACAGCATCTAAAAGCAGCAGCAAGCTAAAAGCAGCAGCAAGCTAAAAGCAACAGCAGCTAAAAGCAGCAGCAGCTAAAAGCAACAGCAGCTAAAATCAGCAGCAGCTAAAAGCAGCAGCAGCTAAAAGCAGCAGGAGCTAAAAGCAGCAGCAAGCTAAAAGCAACAGCAGCTAAAAGCAGCAGCAGCTAAAAGCAACAGCAGCTAAAGCAGCAGCAAGCTAAAAGCAGCAGCAGCTAAAAGCAACAGCAGCTAAAAGCAGCAGCAAGCTAAAAGCAGCAGCAAGCTAAAAGCAGCAGCTAAAAGCAATTCGTGTTCAGTCCTGATCGCAGATCGACTTTATCCAGACCTACCACAACTTTGTCTGTGCAGCTCCGAACCGGTTCTGTTGAGCTTTATTTGTTGCTGCAAGCTGATCCCCATCATCCTGCGCTGAGCATCGAGCTCTTCCTCGTAGCTAATGATGGTTTTTTCAACCTCTGTGAAGATTTCCTCCGCAGCAGCAGTTAGTCTCTCTCTGATAAACTCTCTGAGATGCTGAACTGAACACATGGTTGCAGATTAGATGGGACAATACAACAGTCTTTCTGACGAGTCAACAAAAGCTGCGGCTGTTTTCTTTCTTTCTTTTCTTCTTTTCACTTCCGCTCGGGTCACACTGAGACAAAAGGTGATTGGTCCATTTAGCACCCCTTGGTGGGCTGGAGTGGAACCGCAGCTTGTCAGCAAAACGACGCATTAGCTGAACTGGACCTTTAGTGCATGTTTCAATCTTCCTTCCATCCTAATGTGTTTCCTTCTAATAAGCAAACTAAACCCGCTTTTTGTTCCCTGGAGAACTTCTTTTACAACTGATGTTACAACTGTTCTTTTACATTTACTTGATGGCTTTGAAGCTTTAAACATTATTCACATTTATCTTTGACTCTGCTTGGAAGAATGTTTTCACTGACAGTGAATGAGACGCAGCAAAGACAGCACAATTTGTTTATCGACTTTTTGTCCATATGTCTCGCTGCATGTTGTGTAGTTTATCTCAGACTTCAGACATATCTGTTGCCAGTTACAGACTGTGAGTTTTGTTTTCTTGAACAATAAACTGATTTCCCCATGAAACAAAAAGAAGGTAACTTCCCTGTATGAGTTCTTTTGTGGACATTCTATGACTGTTTCCCAGTCATAGAATGTTTTAAATCCATCTCTTGCTAATTTTAACCAGGAGACAAAATTAGTTTGTTGGTTCCAAAATCAGACAAAACTTTTCTGTTGTGTTTTGATTTCAGAAAGTTTAATAACATAACTAAACCTGGTTCATACCCTCTGCCTCCTACGGATGATTGTATTGACCAAACTGGTAATGCTAAATTTATCAGTAAGATAGACATACGAAAGGATGATTGGCAAGTCCCTTTATCTAAAATGACACAAAAAATCTGCCTTCTTTACACCCTGTGGTTTAAATTCATACATTATGCTCTTTGGTTGAGGAATGGACCGGAAACTTTGGACGAATAAGGTTTTTGGGCATTTAGAGGGTTGTGCTGTATATCTGGATGACATTGTTGTGTATTGGTCTTCTCTGGAATAACATTGTTTGACCTTCTGGCAGATTCACAGCTCCAATGAATGCAGCAAAATGCCTTGCTCAAGCTCTTCTCAGCTCTTATCTTGGTCATCCAGTGAGTCCAGTGAGTATGTCCTGTTCATGCAAAAGTAGAGGCTATTGAAAAGTGTTCACCAAAAACAACTAAGAAGGAATTCATGAAATTCTGAGGTTTATTTGGATAACACAAAGCCTTATGCAGAAACTTTTCAACGTGCATGAAAGAATCAAGGTCACAGTCCAGGTACATCTTTGATGAGTGAATAACATTATAACATAATATAAAACTCAAAAAGTCTATATGACATAATACTATCCCTTTAAGAAAAGTTGCACATTGCATAAAGTAAATTTCTGTGACAATCATCCATTTTTCAGTGTTGGGGTGATGTGACGTCTCTTGCTACGTCTAAAGAGGTGAACAGGGCAAAGGAGGAATGTGAGCTGTTCATATTACATCTGTTTGTGTGACTGTCTGAGGGTCATGGCGGGAAAATGCTTGTTGCCATATATGTTTGTGATTATGCACTTTTTGTGACACATCTATACATTCAACTTGGAAAGTCAACTATCAATCAAGTCTCTTATAAACATTCAAATTAAAAGCAGAAACTTTGACCCATTTAAAAAACATACATAAAATAAAATGTATTGATGTTCAGTTTATAGATATGAACAAAAGGTATAAAACCTAAAACATCATTACTATGGAGAAATTCACTAGAGTCCTGCTTTAGATCAGAAATCAGCACAGCTCTCTGAACATCATTATCTCTGTAAGCCTCAAGTTTGGTCTTTGACTAGGACATTCCAACCCAATAATTATTTTGTTATCCTGTTGTTGACCCAGTTTCAAACAAGCTTCAGCTACTGGACAGATGGACCAACTTTTTTTTTCTAAAAGAATTTACAAAGAAAATTGAATTAAGGAGTTTAAAACAAGACCTCCATTATCATGCTGAACTACATCTAAGAAGCATCTACACGGTTATGACATTTTATTTCCAAACTTGATGGCAAACTCAAGTCCCTAAGCTGCATTATTTGATATTGTAGATATGCTCATATTCTTAATAGCAGGGGTGAACCAGTCAACCACAGTATGGAACAGGTGTTTGTTTCTGAGGTCTGAGTTGCTGCTTTTTACAGACTGGGAGAGGTTTCCTACAACCTGGTTTAGTCAATTTCCGTTGCAAAGATAAATACTACCAGGAAAAGTTAAACTATAGTTAAACTATGTGACAGTCAAGTGTTTTTGTTTAATGTGGAAATTCAATTTCCAAACATTAATGAAGCTTTTTCCACATGTTTCACATGTATAAGGTTTCTCACCTGTGTGAATTCTTCTGTGGTCATTCAAATTTGAACTTGTTTTAAAACATTTTCCACATATGTCGCAAGAAAAAGATCTCTCACCTGTGTGAATTTTCAAGTGTACGTTTAAATGATCAATTCGAGAGAAAGTTTTTCCACATGCTTTACATAAAAACGGTCTCTCACCTGTATGATTTCTCTCGTGAGTGATTAAGCTACTAATTTGAAAGAAACTCTGTCCGCAAGTTTCACAAGAGAAAGGCTTCTCACCTGTATGAATTCTCTTATGAATGGTTAAACTACACATGTGAGAGAAACTTTTTCCGCATGTTTGACAAGAAAAAGGCTTCTCACCTGTATGAGTTCTTTTGTGGACATTTAAATTACCAATTCGGGAGAAACATTTTCCACAAGCCTGGCATGAAAAAGGCTTCTCACCTGTATGTGTTCTCTTGTGGACATTTAAATCACCAATTCGAGTGAAACTTTTTCCACATGACTGACACAAAAAAGATTCCTCTCCGGTATGAATTTTCTTGTGCCGTTTTAAAGCGCTAATTTTAGAGAAACCTTTACTACACGATTCACATGAAAAAGGCCATTCACCAGTGTGGCTTCTGTAATGGTTTTTTAAGTTAGCCTGATGTTTGTACCATCTTCCACATATGTCACATTTGAAAGACCTTTTCTTTGAGTCAATATGAGACTGACTCTCTGATACAGAAGAGCTGCTTCCTTCCTGATCTTTGCTCTCAATTACAGGAGATATTTGAAAAGAAAGCTCCTCAAGTTTTGGTTCTCTAATCAAACTACCGTCCTGCAGAGTAGAAGTTTCACTCAAAGTAACAATCTGCTTCTGTTCAAGCTGATCTCCCTCCTGATTTCCGCAAAGGTCTTTCTGGTCCGGTCCAGTTGGTACGTGTTCTGGTGGCTGCTGTTCATGTTGAACCACTGAAAAATCTGGTTCCTTATTTCCTTCATTTATCAGCTGAGATTCTGCATCATCCTCTTCTTTTTTAATCAATTCAGAATCTTCCCATTGTTCAATAAGTAGAAAACCTGATTCCTCCTCTTTTTCTTTATTACATGGATCTCCTAATACTAATGGTTTAACCTCCAATTGTTCTGGGTCAACCTCTTCCTCTTTAATCTGTTTAGGTTCTGCTTCCTCCTGGTCATCACTGGATCTCCTCCTGTTGTGACGTACCTGGGGGATGGCAGACATTTCCTCCTCAGTGGAGATATGTGGCTTTTGGAGGTCTGTGGGAATAATGGAAGATATCATTAATATAATTAAATTGATGACTGTTTCATGCATCAGTCTGATTGTTCCTGGAGGTGAGTAACCTCCAGGAACCTGATGAAGAACTGTCCTCCCAGCAACTGTCACGTGTCCACAACAGAAAAATTGATGTGAATCAAAAAGCTGCACATGTGACTGCGGTCAGGTAGCAGCCAGATAACTGTCCTCTCTTTAAAGCAGTGGCCAGTAGACATTTTGAAGGTACAGCTGGTCACACACCACTATATTACACATACTTTCTCTGAAACACATACACAATGAACAAATGAGGTAAGACTCACATTGCACATATTTTACTATACATACATGTCGATACAATTTATGCTGAGTTTGAATTTTGATAATAAATAAATGTTTGTCTGAAAATAATCCTATGACCATTGGTAGCATTGATATGTTTAATGAGTGGATATAATTGAACTCCATGTGGTTTTTCAGAGACTAACAAAATTTCTGTTTGTGCTGCAGCATTTTAGCCTGAGCTACAAAGCTATCAACCCTGGTAGCATCAGAGCTAGCAGCTAAAAACAGAGGCTACTGAACTATCGACACCAACGGATCTCTGTCTGCAGTGAACACATCAGAACCTTCATCCAGACCTACCAGAACCGATTCGGTTGAGTTTTAATGACTGGTTTCCAGTTAATCCTCATCATTATTCACTGAGCATCGAGCTCTTCCTCGTAGCTAATGATGTTTTTTTTTTTCAACCTCTGTGAAGATTTCCTCCGCAGCAGCAGTTAGTCTCTCTCTGATAAACTCTCTGAGATGCTGAACTGAACACATGGTTGCTGAAATATTAGCTCAGATGAGAAACAACACAATCGTCTTTCTGCTAAGTCATTACAAGTTGCTGCCTTTTGTTTTACTTCAGGTTGAGATCACAACGAGAGAAACAAGCCGATTTGTCAACTTCCGCCCCCTGGAGCCCTGGACTGGAACAGCAGCTGCTATTAATGGAACAGGCGTTATCTTAAAGAATATTTGCTTCTTTAACATTTACTTTCCTTCAATCCTCATATGTGTTACATTCTAATGTGGAAACAAAATGCAGCACGTTTGTGCTGGATAAAACAAATACAAATACACACAATTTGCTGCCGGGAGGGAGACTAAGTAGCCGATTGGTTCATTACTGCCCCCTGCTGGACTAGAGGGAAAGGCTTCTCTGCAATATCTAACAAAATGATATAATTTTCATTGCATCAATTTGCTACTTTGGATGAAGTATGTGGGGAAACATTAAAGCTAAAATACAAGTGAATCAATAACAACAAAGACACCAACAAAATTCTCAGTCCGCCAGAAAAAGGCACCAGCACCTCCCGACCCCATTAGGGTTAAGGGTGTACAGAAAATGGAAGGATGAATGATATCACTTTATGAGTCAGCAATGATTTCTGGATTTCCTTCAGCATTTCCTGAATGATTGACACAGTTAAGCTGTATGTTGTCAGAGGAAATATAGGGATGGTCCAGACTGCTGAAAATACTAACAGTGAAGCAAATAAATCATAAATAAATAAATCAGTCACTGCAACATTTTGAACCAAATGTTGGCATTTATTAAATACAGTTCAGTTGAAGTTATAACCATAGAGACAGTGATGACTGTGTTCAGACCTCTGAACTGATCTGGGAATAATCTGAAGCAACCAAACACTGATTTTCCATAAATCAGAGCCTCTCTGCTGTCTGTCATTTAAACACCAAAGGCCTTAAGACAAATTTTTCTAAAAACATAACACTCAATGGAAGCTGCATAAAATTTCAAGTCAGTGAACATTTTAATTCAAAATAAACCCTTATGCTTAAGTGTAACATTATAAACTCTAAATGTAAAAACATTCAACAAAAGGTAACTGAGATTCAATGCTAAGTAGCCAAAGTTGCTAACCATCTTCATTTTAGATCATTTATGTTTACAAAAATCTGTTTCTGCACAACTCTCTGGATTTCAGTAAGTTTGAAGTCTTTCCTTTGACTAGACCTGGGAAGTCCTGAAAATCTTTTGTCCTGCAGGTTTTAGAAGCATCCTGTTCCAACACACCTGACGAATGGCTCATTAGTTGACAGCATGCTGAAGACAAATTCAATCATATAATTAATCTGTGTTGGAGCAGAGAAGCATCTAAAACTTTCCGGACAGTAGAAAATGACTAGGGAAGGAGATCCTGGGACTAGGCTATTCCAACACTGTTATTCTTTTCTTGTCTTGCTGGTGACCCAGTTTGGACCAGGGTCTTCAAATCATATGATGAGTCGTTACAGACCAATTTCACATTAAAAAGGCCCTCACTGTGAATATTTATGTGATGAATTTTAGGGTAAACTTTTCCAGATTTAGCAAATGAATGGCTCCTTAACGTGAATGAATTCTCTTGTGAACATTTAAAGAACTAATTTGAGAGAAGCGTTTCCCACATGTTTCACAAGGAAAAGGCCTCTCACCTGTATGAACTGACTTATGTTTATTCAAAGAACTAATTTGAGTGAATTTCTTTCCACATACTTGGCATGAAAATGGTTTCTCACCTGTATGAATTCTCATGTGGACCTTTAAACTACTAAACTGAGTGAATTTCTTTCTGCATGACTGGCATGAAAATGGTTTCTCACCGGTGTGAATGTCCTTGTGCCGTTTCAAACCACTGATCTGAGTGAATTTTTTTCTGCATACATGGCATGAAAATGGTTTCTCACCTGTATGAATTCTCATGTGGACGTTTAAATTACAAATTTGAGAAAATGTTTTTTTACATACTTGGCATAAAAAGGGTTTCTCACCAGTATGAATTCTCTTATGGACATTTAAATTACCAAGATGAGAGAAACATTTTCTGCATGTTTCACATGAAAAAAGCCTTTCACTATTGTGGGTTCTGGAATGGTTTTCAAAATTATGCTGATTTTCAAAACATTTCCCACAAACATCACATTTGAAAGACCTTTTCTTTGCATCAGTATGAGGTCGACTCTCAGAGACAGTGATGCTGCTTCCTTCCTGATCTTTGCTCTCAATTTCATTAGAGATGTGAAAGTGATCTTCAGTCTTTGGTTGTCTACTCAAATCACCTTCCTGATTATTAGAAGTATCCATAAAAGCAACAATCTGCTTCTGGACAAGTTGCTTTCCCGGCTGAATACTACAGAGGTCCTTCTGGTCCCGTCCAGTTGGAAAATATTCTAGTTGCTGTTCATGTTTAAGCAGTGAGTAATCTGGTTCCTCATTTTCTTCACGACTATGTGGATGTTCTGGTTCCTCCTCTCTTGGCCCTTTAGGTTCTATTTTCCAATGATCTTCTGTCAGTGGAGGCTCTGGGTCCTGTTCGTCTTGTTTAGTCAGTGGAGGTTCTGGTTCCATCTGTTCCTCTTCAGGCCACTGAAGTTCTGCTTCCTCCTGGTCATGACTGGACCTCATCCCCTGGACACAAACCTGTTGAATGGCAGAAGTTTTCTCCTCAATGGAGACATGTGGATTTTGGAGGTCTGTGGGGGCAAATGAAGACATCATTAATATAATTACATTGATGAACGTCTCATGCACCAATCTGTTTTTTTCTGATGATTATCAACTGTGAGAAGTCAAATAAATCTAACAACGTTGCCTAAATGGGTGTAGTGATGGACTCAGGCCTGTACCTTCACTCATGTGAAGACCGTTATAAAATCGACCTTCTATCAGCTGTAGAACATTTCCAGGATTAAAGGATTAATGTCCCAGCAAGGTAGAGAGAAACGTGTTGATTACTGCACCAGTGTCTTCACAGTACTATGAGACTGCAATGTAACAGTAATTCAGTTACAGGCTATATCAGTTATTACAACATAGTTGTTCTTGGGTTCAATCAGACATTTCTGAATCAAATTAAAAAAGTGCATTTTATGAGTTTTCAAAAATATGTTTGCTTAGTATCAAATGAGTCTACCTTTTTAACTCCTACCATAATGAGTTTGACTACAAGTGTAAATTGCTCTTGGGCTCTTTTGAGATTCACACGTCATGCATAACAAGTTTTAGTGCAAATCGGATGATGCATCTGTGACATAGAGATATTATGTTCACGGCGAGGGATTCGCCATTGGGCCACGGCCACCTGGTTCAGCCAGCATTGACAGACATCATCATGTCATTGTATGTCACTTTGCAGAGGCTGAAAGCTAAATGAATCAAAGAGTAAAAGTAAAAGCTGCTGAACTGGATACAAGCTTTGCTATATGCTAAAGCTAGCATCTGGACGTTGCTAACAGCTACCATGGTAACAGGGGGGAGAAAAATCAACAACCAAGAGCTTGATTTTATTTCATTGTTACTTTCTCTTTGATATTCGGAGCCTGAACTAACCGACTTCCGTTACTTCTTACCGATTCTGGTGAGTTTTATCTGAGGTTTCCAGCAGATTTCCAGCAGTTTGATGTCTTCCTCGTAGCGGCCGATGGTTTTTTCAACCTCTGTGAAGATTTCCTCCGCAGCAGCAGTTAGTCTCTCTCTGATAAACTCTCTGAGATGCTGAACTGAACACATGGTTAATTAAATATTCAGCTGAGAAACAGCACAACCGTTTTCCAGCCTTTACACACAATTTGCTGCTGAAGCCTTTTGTTTTACTCCTGCTGGAAGTGAGACAAAGTAACCGATTGGGCCATTTACTGCCCCTGCTGGACTAGAATGTAACCGCTGGGAAAAACAAACAAAATACAAACAAAAAAACATTCATTAATGGAGCACATATTAACAAAGAATAGTTTCTGCAAAAAATTATGTTCAGCTGTTTCAGTGCTGGTTTCATATGTGTTACATTCTAATAATACCTGTGGGGACACGAGTCAGTGTTTAATTCCACCTTTTAATTTTTCAAGGATATCTGTTGCTTGTTTTTTTAATGTAGCTTTAAAGCTACATTAAAATATTAATAATATTATCTTTTGTATTATTTGAACATCGTGAATTACTTGCAGCATAACAGGAGCATCGTTCGGTTACAATTGAAAAGTAATCTTTCAAGCACTGATGTGGCTAAATTCAGCACCAAACTGAATGCATTTGTGTGAAATGATTGTTGAAACTTTTATACTTAAAAATAACTATTCACATATCACATATCTTAGAACAAGTACAGAAAGGCTTATTTTAATTTATATTGTTTTATTTTGGTAGAAATGATAATGTCACTTTCTAATGAGTAAAAAATAATTTCTGAATTTGTGTTTAGACATCTTCTTTACTCTGTATGTAAGACTGCAAATGTTCTCCCTCTGAAAAATGTTTTTGCCAACAATTTGGTACATAGACAGTTAATTCAAAATGGACATACTTAATTTCACAATTTAAAACATTATGCTGTGTTATGGCAAGCCATGTTACTGTATTTTCATAATGAAGCTTTGTCAACCAGAGCTATTGATAATTTCTTTCAAAGTTTCTTAAAAGCGCCTATCAGCTCTTCTGCAGCTATTTTATTGCACTTTATATCTTTGTTTTATGTTTGATTTTGTCCATATATTTTTGATGTTTGACATAAATCCATCTAACTGCTTCATCACAATTGCTGATATTGGAACATTTTTTTGTATTTCCTTGCAAAACTGACTTGATGTTCTTGATGAAGATTTTATTTTCAATCCAAATAAGAAACTTTTAAATCAGACTTCATATTCATAGACACAAAACACAACCACAGAAATAATCAATTTGCAATTTTTTATTTACAGTGATTAAAACACACATCTCTTCCATATAACTAATAATAAACCAGTATTAAACAACCCTAGATTCAATGCCATGTAAGACCACAATCATCCTGTAGAGGGCAGCATTCTATCACTAACACAGCTAACTTGTGGAGACGTGTGACACCTTTTCCCTTTAGTTTCTCCTTAGTTCCCAAGAGACTATATCTGTTGTTTCATGTCTGTAAGGACTCAACAAAATGTAGCAAAACAAAATCTTAATCAAAAACATTTTTCACTTTTTCAACCAGATGAATAATTTGTCATTTTATTACTGATTTCACAGTCTTTGCCAGTAAAAGCAACAAGGAGTAAAATATAGCAAATAGTCTTGTGTTAATCAGATGTTTTAAAGATGCATGTAGGAAAAATAACAAAATCAATAAAACCAACACATCAGGTTTGAAGACACACAAGTCCTGACCATCTCTGGCTATTGATGCCTGATTAGTTTAAACACAAACCAAAAACAATTAAGAAAATATGTTAGAGAATTAAAATTCTCCTTGAAACTCAGAATTTTGTGGATTCTGTCTATTTGGGTTCACAGAGCTCTGCATGACATGCAAAACCAATCCAAAGCCCAGCATGTAGCGGCTCAGTGAATGTGGTCTGGACTCTGTGGATCAGAGTCATGGATTCAGAGACGCTGTAGAAGGACAGAATACCTGCTCTGTGATCCAGGTACACTCCCACTCTGGAGGAAACTGGACCGGAGATGGATTTCCAGATGTCATTATGACCAAATTTAAAATTGTGTGAACGACATTCTAATGCCCATGATTTGTCATTAGCTCCAAATAAACTTTTATTACTTCTTCCTGCTCTGATGATACTGTTGTAAGCGACGGCTACATAAATTCTCCCTTTCCTCTCCACCTCCCAGTAACAACATCCAGTCAGACTTTCTCTACTCAGAACCTGACGCCAATGAGTGAATCTTTCTGCGTGACGAGAAAGAAACTGAGGCTCACCCATCCTTTTCACCTTTCTGTCCTCTTTTGATAGTGCCAGCCATACATTTGCAGTGTTTGGATTTATTTAGTGTCCGAATGTCTTAAAAATCCAGCTCTGCTTTTTGGTTCTTGTTCTGACAGTGAAACATTCACCTCAGTGAGACTCAGTAAGCTTCCTCTCCACGGGTCTCTCAGGATGTCCTGCAGTTCAACTTGGAGCTCTGACACAGACGCTAAGATGTCCTCAAAGTATCTCAGAGGATTAATATTGATGCTGGATGAGTTTGTGGATTCACTAAATACTGGCATTGAGCTGTAACCGCAGAGAAACTGGTTGTGATCCTCTATCTTTGAGAGCTCCTTCAGCTCAGCGTTTTTCCTCTTCAGCTCAGTGATCTCCTGCTGCAGCTTCTCCTGAACATCTTTGACTTGACACACTTCAGTTTCCTGCTGGAATCTGATCTGCTGCTTCACATCAGAGCTTCTTTTCTGGAGGAGACGGATCAGCTCAGTGAAGATCTCCTCACATTCCTCCACTGCTTTATCAGCAGAGTGATTGATGTCCTCCACCTCCTGCTGAAGCAGCTTCACATCTTCCTCTCTGACCTGCAATCGCTGCTTGATGCTTCCTCGTCTCTTCTTCAGCTCTCTCTGCCTCTCAGTCCATTCGACTGAAGCTGACACTGTGTTGTGCCCTTGATGCTCATCCATTAAACAGAAGCTACAGATGCACTTCTGGTCAGTGCGGCAGAATATCTTCATTACATGATCATGTTTAGAGCAGATGTTCTTCTTGAGATTCTTGGTGGGCTCCACCAGGTGGTGTTGCTTAAATGTGTCAGAATTATAATGAGGCTGAAGGTGTTTCTCACAGTAAGAGGCCAGACAGACTAAACAGGACTTGGTGGCTTTCAGTTTTGTTCCAATGCAGAAATCACAGGCCACATCTTTAGGTCCAGCATAGCGGTGGTCAGCAGGAGCAGCTTGGAGTCCAGTGTTCTTCAGGTCCTCCACTACAGTTGCAAAAACAACTTTTCTTCAGAGCAGGCCTTGGAGAGAATTTCTCCCGGCACTGAGGGCAGCTGTATATTCTCTTCAGATCCTCCACATTCCAGTGTCTTTTAATACAGTTCATACAGTAGCTGTGTCCACAGGGAATCGTCACCGGATCCTTCAGTAGATCCAAACAGATCGAACAGGAGAAAGTTTCTCGGTCCAGTTTATTCTGCTCCATTTCTGCTCTCAGTCAGTGACTGTGTGAGTTTCATTTCCTGAAATTGTGCTCTGAGTATTTATTCCTTCAGAGGAATGTAGACTCTCAAGCCTTACACTAATTTGCATCATGGTAACACCCACCTTCAACCATCAAGTCTAAAAAAAGAATGTGGATAGACTGGAGCTGCTGCGAGGAGGTGTTAAAGAGAGACATGTCCATCGAAAGACAGAGATGTTTTTCAATAATGTTTGTTTTTACCAGACCCACTGACAGTTTTGCCCGTTTGTGAACCATGATGCTTTGAGATGTGACCCCATTTGATATGATTTGATATCAAGTCATATCAAAATGTGATATGATGTGATATGTAAAAGTAAAAGATATGACTGACGCTGCATTCTGACCTCTGTTTTGGTTGTCCATTCGTTCTCCTCCAGAAAAATTAGTCATTGTTAATGATTTCATGACTATGCATGATATCAATAACAGAACCATGGCTTTACATCTTTCAGTTCAGTTTCTGTGCTCACCACAGTACTGAGACGGCCCGTGTCAAAGTGTTTAATCACATAAATACAGACTGAAAGAACCACAGTGACGATATTGTTGAACCTCAGTGCAGCAATTGAAACTGTCGTCCATAATGTCATTAAAGTGACTGCAGAGTTGAGTTGTACAATACCTGACAGGTTTAAGTCTTACCTAAAGGATAAGGATTCTTTGAGTGAGCAGGTAGCTGTTTACCAAAGTGGAAAGATAAGACATGTGGACCTTGGTAAGCTGGAGGTGCTGAACTCCAGGTTTGAAAAAAAGACCTGAGACTGCCGGATCTGTTTCCTGCCTTCCACTGAACTAAAATAACATTTTGGGATTTATTGAAATTGACAAATAAATCCGTGTTGAACAAACTGACTTGATTGACTGATGTTATGGATTCTGTGTTTTCCTCTACCTCATTTTTCTACTGACACACACACTGCTGCTGCTTACATAACCATCACACAAGACAAGATTCACTACACTATAAATATTCTGTGAATTCTTCACACACCAAAACCATAACGTAAAAATGATATATAGTAAAATCACAACCCAGTATAAACATGTATTTTCAAACTGGATTCCATTGAAACATTTCAGTGGCACGTTGACAAAATAAACACTTTTCAATGCAAAAGACGTCAACTTTTGGCTGATTGACCCATTCAATGTTGATTCTTAACCATCAGCTGTTCTGCTGATGGTTTCAACAGCAGCTTCAGAGAACCTGCAGTTCTGAGGTTCCTTCTGCAGAATTCTGAGCAAACCGTGATCAAGATATATTCCTTTGACCAATCAGTGCAATACAGTCACCTGCATAGTTTTGATATCCAAAGGTCTTGCAGTTCCAGAAACAACCTTCCTCCGCCAGCGAAGAGGTTTGCACAGGATGTGTCCTGTGTTGCCCTCCTGGTGGCACACAGGCAAACAGCTCAGGGCTCAGATTCAGTTCAAGACTGAGGAACTCTGAAGATCAAAATAAAAATGTACACACTGATTCATCCAAAATAACTTTTAATGAATTGATGGACATTTATCTAAGACTTTTCACACAGGAGAATCTGTATAAGATCATGACTCATCATTTTCAACAAGACAACAGATCTGGAAACAAAGCTGGAAAACTTAACCTTCACTAAAGTAACATCCACTGAAGGCAAGCCAAGCTTTTTCCTTCGATTTAATCCATTTTCAAA